GCATTTGAATAAAATTTTATTGAATTCAGAGTTCGCAGCTCTCTAATAGATAGAGAGTGGATTCTATCCAAGTGCAGAGTTCACCCTTTATCGATGTTTGGCGTTAGGAATCGCGACTAATAATACGTGGAGACACGTGCGCATTTTACTTTTTAACGATTCATGTTTTTAAGGGTAAAATTTTCCTTTTCACTGGTTGATGTAAATGCAATTTGTAATTTACAAATAAATTACATGTTAGATATAATATCAATGTTAATGCAATTTGGTTTTATTTTCCGTACATACATATATACCTTTTGTGGAATATTCTCCACACTTTTTGGATCTGAAGTTCAGGCTATTAACATTAGTAAGAGATAGAGAATTAAGCTAATGGGCCTTCTATCAATTTTTTTTTTTTTTTTTTTTTTGGTATTTTAGCTACTAACATGTTATTAATTGTTGCAACAGTAACAGAAAAAATATTCATCTTTGTATATACATGTATGTGTGAGTAGAATGTATATGTGTGTGTGTCTTAAAAAAAAAGAAATTATATTTTAACCCCAATAAAAAAAAGCTTTATATGAGATTTCAGTGTATAACTTGATTTCGTAAAAATAGCAAAGCTTTCCATTATTTTTATTAATTTCTTCTTTTCTGTTTTTTTTTTCCTTTTTTTTTTGAACTTTTAGGAATAATCATAATATGCCGAGAAATGTACATTCTATAAAATTAGGGTCCTGTTTATTTTACCGATTTGAGTTTTGTTATAATAAAAAGTTCTCAGAAATAGCCGCATCTAAATTTTTTATTACAATAAAAAGTTTTAATATAAAATCACATGTCATTTTGAATTAAAAATTCGAATAAACATTAAACGGGCCTAGAACATAGGAAGATTAAAGTCTCGTTCACTTCGCGGATTCGAGTTTTCAATTCGAGCTGAGATGTGACATTTTTTGAGAGCTTTTCACTGTAGCAAAAAAAGTTAGATGTGTCATTTTCTGAGAGCTTTTTACTATAAAAACCTAAAACTGAAAATTCGAATCGGTGAAATGAACGAGACCTAAGACTCAATTAATATGACACCTTTGCTTCTCCTTTCATTTAGGAATAAATACTAAAAAGATTCTTTCTTGAACTTGGAGTCCAAATAAAATCTTACAAGCTACAATATGCTGATCAAGATCTAAACTCGGAAAGAACATCAGAGAAACATACATTTTATGATTTCCTAGATCTGTTCAAAGCCAATTAGTCCAAACCGACCAATATCGTGACATTCAATAAACTGAATTTCATATAATATTTTTCTAAATTCAAATTTGTTATTGGAATTTAAAATACGCATAAATATGTATATTAATTTATATTTTTGGTTCTATTTTAGTACTTGTACAAACTGCATGTTTCCAAGAGCCTCTATCCAAACAAATTAATTAAACACCTGACTGGCGAAATTAACCAAAATTTAAGCCTTCAAATGAGAGAAAGAGAAACTGGAGTGACGAAAATACCCTTCTGAGAGGCAATGGGATAGTGCACAAACCGATTTTCTAAGGAATGTCACCTTTCTATTGGTAAAAGGAACGTCAAAATGAGTGATGTCCAACCACATGATGACGCGTGTCAGTGATCCTCGTGGTTTGGACCCCACCTCATGCAGAGCCCTTGCAGTTTCCACGTGAGTCAGACTGCATGTCACATGATTAACGGACAGGGTAAGGTCCTTGAATGGGCCCAGCCAACTGGGACGGGCCACGTAAGGAGCTGCTAGATCTCATCACGTGCTCATTAGCCTACTTTCCGACGAGTCCAGCCCAAGTTGGCTGCTTTTTTTGCCCTTTTTAACTTTATTTTAAAATTATAATTAAATTTAAAACCAGGTTTCTTATGGATGACATAAATATGTTTTAGAGCCTCTAACTAATAATAATCATCAGTACGCATCTTCATCTCTTATTGATAGAACCAAGAACCTTATTTTAGGTTTCTACAAGTTTAAAAAATCGAAATCTATTTTTGTTCTTTTTGGACTCTCTAAAGATAACTCTAGTATTATCAACTTAATTTGCTAAATTTTAAAAATTCTCTAATATGGATAGTAGCCACAAGCTAAAAAGTTTTATTTTAAGAATTTTGCACTAAAAGGTAATAGATTAAAAAAATATATATCATAACTAGGGAACAATATTGCTGATGGGGTCCTAGGTATTCAAATCCACTCAGGACGAAATGGTCTACATGAGATAAGAAAAAGAAAATAAAGAAAGTGATTGTATTGAAAATTCACTATCAGAACATGTTATTGATAAAAAAAAAAAAAAATTACAAATTATTGGTGAACAAGGGGCCATTGTTGACGAAGACTTGCATAAAATTTTGATGATCATGTGCCTTAGAAAGGAACATTTCATATGCGTTCATTCTCAAAAGAATTTCACGCATGTTGTAAAAGAAAGAAAGAAAGAAAGATAAAAAAAAAAAAAAAAAAAAAAAAAAACCTAGTTTTGATTGGAGGACACATATATAACTATATATTGATTTTAAAATGTTAATGCCATTACTTTTAACAAATTGTACTTGCAATTATCTACACAAATAACAAACATTTATTGCTTATAACTCTGGATTTTTTTTCTAGTCTTTTTAATAATTATTCTTGTGTGGAGAGAGACTAAACAAATAGATAATTGCTTTATCCGTTGCGTTTTGAGAAAAAATATTATCCAAAATCGTATTTGTCTTTTGTAAGAATTATACATAATCGTATCATAATAGTTTCTTATCACTTTGGCTCTGTAACACATCATACATGTTCATTTGTAGACATGATCATGTATTATTGGCTTTAACTTCCCAATGAGACGCTTTCAAAATTCAGTTTGAATTTTTAAGGTCCTGTTCATTTCGCCGATTCGAGTTTAGAATTTGAGTTTTGGTACAGTAAAAAACTCTCAGAACAGTCACATTTAACTTTTTTGCTACGGTAAAAAGCTCTAACACAAAATCACATCTCAACTCGAATTACAAACTCGAATCAGCGAAGTGAACGGGCCCTAAATATGGTAGGAGAGTTCATTTCCTCGTTGAAAAAGAACTCGATGAGAAATAAATGGAAAAATGGGCATATTGTTGTCTTAATAATTATAAATCCTTAATGTAGCATATGCAATTTACATTAAATATTAAACCATAGAACTTTAGGCCAATTATTAAGTCTTTATAATATGGTTGGCTGCAATGGACCTTCTATATATTGGCTAATTTTTAATACTGCACATGAACCTAATAGACAAGACTTCCTAAAGGATTAATTAAACAAATGAAATTGCAATTGTAGATCAATTGTCAAAATCATAGTATCATAGGGGTGTGGGTTATCTACCAAATCAAGCTGGCTTCCAAATTTATTTATTTATTTTTTTTGCATAAATAATTAATTTCCTGACTGATTATTATAAATGAAGAAAAAAATGACGAATGCATAGAATGATTATTGAAACCTAATTGGAAAGACATTATAATATCAACATGTTGATATCGTAAATATAGAAAATATACCATGCTTCTAATATTCCTTCGCATATGCACATGAAATAACAACTAAGTGTCAAAACTAGGATTTAAGTTTAACAAGGCTTGTTTTGGTTGTTAATTTATATTTATATGTTTCACGAGTTTGCATAATTAAGCTGAGTTGCCTTTGGATTCTTTAAGTGTGAAAGGCCAATAATGTTAACTACCATTTGAAAGACAATGATTTCATGCTTTAAACTCTCCAAACATTACAAGGCGGCATGAGTTGTTCAAAACATTAGAAAATGGGTTAATGCATATATCAATTATTTCATAATAGTGAGTTTGCTTTCTATCGTACATTTGTCTTGGGCCATATGGTGGTGGTCCTAGATTTATGTCAACTGCAGAAAACTAATTATCACACGTTTAACCATTTATGTCAACTCAAGATATATAACCATATATAAATTTGTAGGAATATATATATATATATAATATGGGATTAGTCCTCGCCCTTTTAAATTCAAGCCCGTCCTATATGTTATTTGATTTAGTAATCATTAACATATTTGTAAGAATGAACATCATACTTTTGCATGAAGACATAAGACATATAAAATGCGTGGAGACTTTGCCCACATAATATAAAAGAAAAGTTAAAAAAAAAAATAAACAATTTCTAGAATTGTATTGTGAAAGATGAGGTTGCTCTCTAAAATTCCACATACCATGTGCCCCAATTTCTTCTTTTCTCTATTTTTCTTCATTTTTTTTAAAAATCATTGCCTTATTGGTTTGGTTAAACTTGAGATGAATATGGGTCTTAACTCTTAACTTTAAGGTAATGATTAAAAACTATTTACTATTTCCTTAACTTTTACATAAATCTTGTTTATGAATAGATATAAATATCCACCTCCAAAATAGTTGGAGAAAGAAAAATCTTCATACAAGTGGCACAATTTTGAGCCCTCTTTTGCAATTATCCATGTGACCGCCATCCATGAGAACATGGTACTTTTAATCTCACGACTTGTACTTATGAGGAAGAGGAATTTCCTAAATAAAAAACAAAAAACAAAAAAGGAAATTTTTTTATATATCAATATGTCATAATTTTTTAATTATTAAATTTGTATATTTTTTTTTAATTTTTATGTAATTTTATATAAATTTAACGAATATAAAATTAAACTTACTAATATGTTAGCCTAAAAAGAAAAGAAAGTCTCAAAAACAAAAAACAAAAATTACGCCCATTATAAGATTGAGCCAAGGCTATTAACGTCTCTTAAAAAAATTGTTCTTAATTTTAATTTTTTTAAATAATACTCTTTAGCAACTGTTACTGCCTACTGGGGTGCTCATTTAATTAGGAAGGTCTGACAAGGACTGTTTGGTAATTAGGATTTAAGAAGTGGGCGGTTAAAGAGTCCCCTCACTTCTGTTCAACGTCCCTTGCCTGCAAAGAAGTGTTTAGAGAGAGAAAGGGAGGAGAGAGAGAGAACAAAACAAAGCACACGATAAAGAAAGGAACAAAACAGGAAGTTAAAATAAAAACAGAGTTCCTCTTGGCTCTGCTCTGATTCTCTCTGTCTAACTCTGCTTCTCAAAATCTTGTTTTTTGGAGCTCACTTTTCAAATTTCGGTTCCCCTTCACCTGGCTTTTTTAGTCCAGTTTCTCTGTTATTATTATATATTGTACATGGGTTTTTGGTGAAAAGAGATAATCATAATATTATTAGTTGGGAAGGTTCAAGAGAATATAGAGGAATATGTCTTGGAAAAGCAGAGGAGAGAAGCCTTCAGGGACTATTCTATCACAAAAATGGGCTCTTTTGCTTTGTTTAGGCTGCTTCTGTGCTGGAATGCTCTTCACCAATAGGTATGTATGTGATATGTTCTAGAATTCATGTAGATTTTCGAAAAGTGATCACTTTTTTTTTCTGAATTTTTGGATTATGGGTTAGTTAAATCATGCCAATTAGCAAATTGGGTTGTAGCCATTTTTTGTTTGTTTGTTAAAATTTATGGTTATTTTTCAAGTCAATTTAAGGACGACTTGTGTCCTATATTTTTGTGATGAGATCTAAGTCGTCATGACCCTTTTAATGTTTGGTCATGTTGTAAGTAGTGGTTAATCTTTTGTTTTAGTTTACATGTTTTCTATGATATGGGTAATTCTTAGTCTTCTTTTTGGTCCCATTTACAGGTATTTCAGTTTACATTCAATTTCATTTACTTAATGGATTTTGTTTTTTCTAATTTCATGTTTTAAGGAATTTCGTCCGTGTGTAAGGTTGTGATCTTAATCCAATTACATGTTAGATTTTGGAGGGTGAATTATTGCCGCAGTCTTGATTCAAACTTTACTTGCCATAAAAAATAAAATCTAATGAGATCGTTCCCTTTTCTTTTCTTTTATTTATTTATTTTTTCCTTCCTTCTTGATCTATCTTAATGTCGTTTATTGAATGCGGTTGTCTGACCAGCTTTAATTTTCAAATTCTGGTGAAAATTTTGCTTTGATACGTTTATGAAGTAATTATGTTTTAACCATTGTTGGCGTGGCGCTGAGACAGCTAATGATTTTATGAACTGAAATCAGGATGTGGGATGTTCCTGAAACTAAAGATATCACACGAACAACATCAGTGGAAGCTGAAAAACTAAAATTAGTTTCCGAGGGTTGTGGTCCAAAATCAGTGAGTATCTCAATTGAATAATTATGTGGTGTTCTTCATTCAAACTTGCCTAGTTTCAATTCATCTGATTTGTGTCCTTTTAGTTGCTTCAGAAAGAAGTAAAGCGCGACCCCAAGGACATTTACAGGGAGGTTTTCAAGACTCACAATGCAATACAGTAAGTTATTATGGAGACAGATCTTTTGCGAAGTCCTCGTGTTGCATCTTTCTTTTGTCATTTAAGCCTAGCTCAAGTGGTTGAGTGTGTGAGTGTGTGTCCACCACGGTTCAAATCCTGGTGATTTCATTTCTTTTTGGTAAAGTGGAGGTATATGTATATATATAAAGGTCCCAAATTTATTGATTCGATCAAAGTAAAACAAATACTAAATCATGGTTATGTGCTTGTTCGCTGCAGAACATTGGATAAGACCATTTCGAATTTGGAGATGGAATTGGCTGCGGCCAGAGCAGCACAAGAGTCCATACGCAATGGCGCGCCCTTATCAGAGAACTTAAAGAAAACTGAATCATCTGGGAGGAGAAAGTATCGGATGGTTGTTGGAATCAATACTGCTTTTAGCAGTCGAAAAAGAAGAGATTCGGTTCGAGCTACATGGATGCCACAAGGTTTCTAGACTACCTATGTCCTCACTTTCTTGTCACTCTAGCTTTACTTGTATAGATCTGTTGTGTGATGCTTCTGAGAAACAATGTAAAATAGGCGAGAAAAGAAAGAAGCTTGAGGAGGAGAAGGGCATTATCATTCGCTTCGTCATTGGTCATAGGTGAGTGTTAAACTCTCTTATAATGCAAGACTACTGACCAGTAAAATTAATGTCATTTTCATTTATCATTTGCTTTGTCAGTTTTGCTTTGTCTTCGAATGGGAAATTTTCCGTCGTGGGCAGTTATACCACAACAATTTTACTTCCTTCTGATCAAGATTTAAAGTGAACCTCTTAGCGCCCGTTTGGTAAATGTATTTAAACCCATGATTCTGATTCTACAACAATGTTTTTCTCTCACAAAGAATTTGAATTCAAAAATTTCCCACCAACGGTTCTTTTACAAAGTTCTCGCCAATGAATTAGTATCACTGACTTGAACGCGTGAATCAAACGGGCCCTTAGATTATTCCTCAGAATTTTGTGTTCATAGCTAGATTGTAAATAGAAAGAAGTTTCTTATTCGATATTTTGATTACAATGAAATATATCCTTTGCATGCATATTCTTGGCTAGATGATGTTTTTGGTTTGGAAATTTCATATTTTATGTTCTCGAAAAGCCGAAATTAAATTATCAATTCATCCGAATAACTCATAAATTGAGTGGTGATAATTGGCTTTACAAGTTCTCTTTTCCTTCTTCTTTAGTGCCACATCTGGGGGTATTCTAGACAGAGCTATTGAAGCAGAGGACAACAAGCATGGAGATTTTCTAAGGCTGGTAAGTTTGATTATTCCACCGTTTCTTTGCCCTTTCCACCACATGCATACTTAAGTTTAGCATTTTCATTTCTCGCTCGTAAACGGAAATACACCGATATGTTTACATCCGTTTTTTGTCATTTTGAGCAGGACCATGTTGAAGGGTACCTTGAATTGTCTGGCAAGACTAAGATATATTTTGCTACTGCTGTTGCTTTGTGGGATGCTGATTTCTATGTCAAAGTTGATGATGATGTCCATGTAAATATAGGTGAGTCACTTGATTTTATGTTGTTTTTCAGTAACTTTTTAAATATGTCACGGTAATTCTCATAGCTTCAAAGTTCTCTATGTGATAATAAACATGAATTATGTTGCCATGTGAAAGTAATCCTTTGAAGTCTTTCATTATCTAATGTTTTATCTCATGAAGTGTATCTCTTTCCAAAATTGCTTTAGGAACACTTGGAGAAACGCTAAACAGACATCGGTTGAAACCACGGGTGTACATTGGATGCATGAAATCTGGTCCCGTCCTTTCGCAAAAGTGAGAGAATTTTCTCACAAGCTTCTGTTTCTTCATGAATGTGAAGAGAAAAAAAAAGTTGATTAACTAAAGTTTCTCGATTTCTTATTTCTTCACTCAGGGGAGTGAGATACCATGAACCTGAGTATTGGAAATTTGGTGAGGCTGGAAACAAGTATTTCCGCCACGCTACCGGACAGCTTTATGCGATCTCAAACGATTTGGCTACATATATATCCATAAACCAGTAAGCTAAAATCTCTATAAGGAAAAATAATAGCCATATGCATTTGTATATATGAAGGATTTGGCGTTGTTTTCCTGTAATTACTGACAAATATTGTGCACAATACTTCTCAGGCACGTCCTGCATAAGTATGCTAATGAGGATGTCTCTTTGGGATCTTGGTTTATTGGCCTTGATGCGGAACATATTGACGATCGACGATTATGCTGCGGCACCCCACCTGGTAAGTCCTAGTTTCCTTTCAAAATCATCAATTTAGTATACAGATTTCAACAGAAAACAGTACAGATCATGACTTGCAATGCATAGAACTCTCATGTAAAACAAGAGGGAATAATATGCATATGTTTCAGTAATAATCTGACTGCTTGTTGGTGCAGATTGCGAGTGGAAGGCCCAAGCAGGCAACATATGTGTTGCTTCATTTGATTGGAGCTGCAGTGGGATCTGTAGATCAGCTGACAGGATCAAGGAAGTCCACAGGCGATGTGGCGAAGGCGAAAATGCTTTGTGGAGTTCTTCCTTCTGAGAAGCAGCCTCGCTCGTGTCGCGGGTTCTTCCAAACTCGGGAAGGATTTCTGTGCACTAGTACATAAAGCATATAAGCACGAGCCTTTTTCTTTTCTTTGAGCCGCGGTATAGAAAACTTGTAATATCACAGAAGAGAGAGGGAGAGAGAGAGAGAGAGAGAGCAAAAGAAATGAAAAATGTGGACCACCTCCATTTTAGTAGAGGGAGATTGGCCATTGTAACAGTCCAAAATGGAAGAGCTATGAGGCTGACAACCACCATAATTCTTTTGACGCTTGAAGAGCCAATTTGTAAGTTGCAGTTCTACGGCTATCAAGTGCACAATAAATACACATCTTTGTGGGGGCTTTTACTGCCTTTCCTTGTACATCTAGTTTTTAATGGGTTTTTTCAATAGTAGGATCAATCTACTATCTATATAAGCACTATTTTGTATTCAAAATCTCTCTTCCCTGCTTATTGCATGGATTGGTGAACGTTCTGACTCTGTCTCAGCGACATGTTCATATGCCTGAACCAACCTGCAGGCATGACTAATAAATGCTCATATGTGATGTGTTCAAATATTGCTAGTTTAGGTGAGAGTGGCTCTGAACTGAGAACAACCTTTATATTATACATGGATAATCTTCAACATTGTTTTTTTTTTTCTTTCTCTAAATTCCTTGAGGTAAAAAGTTTGATGGTAACTGCAAAAGTATTTTCGAATATATACAAAAGGCCATCTTTTATTATGCTCAAATTAAAATTTTCACCCTCAATAAAGGAAAACTGTGAAGTCTCTCTTTTGCTTGCTGCAGACTAAGATGAAAAACATTAATAAATAAGAAAAAAGAAACAAAAAGGCAAAGAAAAAACTATTTGTTGTCAAGAAAAGGGATTCTTGGATTTTGTCAAGAATGTTCTGGAACACGTCAAGAAAATATATTATACAACATATAAGTGCTAAAATTATAATGAAGGAGTTTCTACTTGGGTGCAAAATATACTATCTTAAACAGAATTCATTAAACAAAGAACACATTTGTACTGTCGCATGTACAGTAACATATTTGAGTGTAAAACAACTCAAACTCTCGAGTTTCAATTCAAGACTACAAAATCAGCACATGAGACGTGTTTTTCTCTCACAAAGCATTAACCTTGTAGCAACTCATGCAACGTGAACAAATAAGGAGGAAGCAAAACCGGAGAAGACCTTTTTCTCATACGAACAAACCAGTGATGTGCTTTATATTGCGTATTTGTTTATGAGACATACAAGGAAGTAACTTTTTCTTTATTCCCATGAACCTTGGAGGAATCACATTAACATTGCCATAAAGTCTTGTTTATGCTTTAACAATGAAAGAATAAGATAAGAAAGTTGAAAAAACGCAAGTACATGGAAAAATTGCTGGTGTTCTCAAAACATTAAAATAAACAAACAACTGTAATAATCAACAATAACATATAAGACAAAATAAGAGTTGCCGGTATAGCTTAGCGGTAAATCCACATTGCTGCCTCCAATGTTGAGGTCAAGAGTTCGAATCTACAGAGAAAACATGGATACAAAATGACTAGAAAAAAAAAAAAAAAAAAAAAAAAAAATACCCTTTTCATGGATATTGGGACGACAAAACGGAAATAGTGGAGAGAGAAGTGGCACGTGATATTGGCACGGCTCAATCAAAAAGCAGAGCCCCCAATAGATTTCGAACGCTGCTTTCTTATTGAACCGGACCAATATCCCGTTAAACTACTCACCCATTCATCTTCTTCTTCAGCCAATTTTACCTGAAATCAAAAAAACCTACAAAATACAAAATCAGTATTAAGAAAAAGACGTCCGTCGTGTATTTATATCCAACGTTACATAAATAACAAGTACTAAGACAACAAGAAAAAGAAAGCAATAACCTTTTTAACACAACGAATATGTATTGTGTATCCATGTGTGTAAAAATATGGCCAAAAAACTTGAAGGGACTGACAGAGCTATATATACACAAGAATGAAGAAGGGGTATATATATATATATATATATATTAATAACAGAGACAAAGAGAAAAAGAGAGAGAAGGTGTTTAACAAGGAAAACTAATGAGCAACATGAGAGAGAGAGAGAGAGGAGAGAGAGAAGGGTGGTAAAGCATTGAAGAAGTTGCATTAAAATGCCAACAACCGAACGACAAAGGAAGTTGTGAGTATTAATAACAACAAGGTACAAGAATCGTGAAAGAAGGCGGGTCTCTCACGGGGACAAATCTTGAAGCTTTTAATGTCAGCATTTATGGATGATGGGAAGGGAGGGAGGGAGGGAGAGAGAGAGAGAGAAAAGGCATGTACGTAATGATCATCATATGTCTATTGTCTGTATTTCTTTTCTGTTGAAAACGGCATTTATTAATTTTATTTGTCAAACAAAAACCCAGAGAAGTTATTCTTTGGGTTTTGGCCATTTGGTACCCGGCCATTTGCATTTTGCTATACCTCCTCATGAAAGCACTTATTCGTAGGTTCAGTGCTTCAACGCTATAGCTCTTTCAGTCTTTCCTTCCTTTTTTCCCCCACAGCTACTACAGCGTTTTCTTTTACTACTCTTCTTAAACTGCCAAAACCTTTTTTTTTTCTTTTTTATTTATGATTTATAATATCCACGTGTCCTAGCTAATTTCAGTTTCCCTAAACTTGGAAACTTCTCATGAGAGTATCGTAGTATAGTCCACGTCAGAAAATTAATGTGGGGTTTGGTTCATTGATTCAAATCATGTGATTAGAATTATTTTTGATTTACGTATATTTTTGTGAGAGAAAATACTGTACCGAATCATGAATCATGATTCGAATCAGGGAACGAATCTAGGTACTAAACGGAAGTGAGGAGAGGGTGGATGTATAATTTCATATTTTTAAAGGATAAATATATATAATTTCATATTTTTAAAGGGTGGGTATATTATAAATTTGATAAAAGACATGTACAAACCATCGAGAAGATGCATGGCTCTACCCCTGATATATAGTTTGTGTATGTTTAGTATATGAGTTATGCTCCGGTGTAAATTTATAATTTGGTTTTATTATGGTATTATTTTCTTAAAAAAATTTTAATTTTAAGGGTCATAATTAAAAACTCTAGTTGGTCATGTGAAAAAGTTGTAAATTTTTTTTTAATATAATGAGATCATGGGTATTATGAAATAGATTTGTTTCAGTATGAACCGAATAGAGAAAATATCTGTACTCATTTTCTGAATCTTTTCCCATATTGTTGTTGTAATTTCCACCTGGAAGGTAACTTTAACTATATAATTACTTTTTTTTATTAAGCTTCTAGTAAGCCTGAAATTATAATTTACGGGGAGAATGTAGTAAATAACAAGTTTTTAAAACTAAATTAAATAAACATAGATTTTAAAATTATTTAAAATAAATAGCGGTTTACATGGTAAATGAATTATTTATTGCATAAATAGTACATTTACGGCTCATAAAAATATATATTTTTTCACGTAAATTTTCTTTTTACGATTAGTAACAAGAATTTTTCCATATAAATAAAAATGTTAAAAAAATTTGTTATCACATGAGTTATTTTTACCAGTCATAAATGAATCATTTATACAGTAAATGACGCATTTACCACGTAAAGTACTAACTATTTACTTCAAATACTTTTAAAATCTACTATTTACTTAATTTTTAAAATATGTTATTTATTGCAATTTCTCTTTTTTTTACCATTAAAGAAAGTGGCAGGGAAAATTAAGTACCTGAGGCCTATCTAATAGATGGTCCCGTTTATTTCACCGATTCGAGTTTAGAATTCGAGTTTTGTTACAGTAAAAAGCACTAAAAAACACTCACATCTATTTTTTTTTTTTATACAATAAAAAATTCTCACATAAAGTCACATTTCAACCCGAATTAAAAACTCGAATCAACGAACTAAACATGAACTTATGGATTAGCTGAGCTCCAGAATTTTGTTTCTTAAGGTGTTAGGCTAGTGCCCAACAAGTTTTTGTTTTTCCGTCTAATAGAAGGATATATATGTCATATCATCATGTAGCAGTGATTATTGCATATAATATTATATAAAATATGCATAGCTAGGAAATCTTAAACCTAATCAACCTTAACGACCCTAGAAGAGGTATCATACTAACTTACATTTGAGTAATTAATTACCATTATTAACCTTCTCAGCTGCCATGTGGCGGAGACTCAGGGGCTCTAGAGGGAGCCCCTTGAACACCAAGCTGGTGTTATTTAACTTCAAAATTTTAATTTAATTTACCCCTTTTCTCGAGGAGAAAAAAAAAATCCGTTCATTTCGCTGATTCGAGTTTAGAATTCGAGTTTTTCTACAGTAAAAAACTCTCATAAACAATCACATCTAACTTTTTTACTACAATAAAAAGCTCTCACTTAAAGTCACATCTCAACTCGAATTAAAAACTCGAATCAGCGAACTAAATGGGTCATAATTAACTCGATGCAATCTAAAAGCAGAGCCACTCATTAATTAGACGAGGCCCCCGTGATCCTACTCAACTCTACACCAATATTTTTTGAGAAAAAAATATTCTTACTCCGCCATTAAAGCCATCATAGTAAAAATTATTATAATAATCAAACGTTATAGTTCAATATTCCCCTATATATATTTTGAAGAAAAAAGCACCGGAAATATAGTTTGTTATTGGGGTGTCGGAATAATAGAGGAAAAGATTCTCTCCTTGCTACTTAATTCTGTGAGCAACGTACAGGTATCCATTATCGTGCCCTCCTAATTCCCTTTCCAGTGGCAAGATGCACGAGTTTTGGACCAGTCAAATTCCAAATTGAAAGGCCAACAATTGAAGTTACTTTTCAAATCATATATATTCTTCCTTCCAATATATATATGATTGTATATTTCTTTTCAAAAAAATAAAAGAGGATAGAAGGTTGGCGTGATATATGAATTTCTAATGAAGTGATTTGCTTAAACAACCCGTTCATTATAGGACCGATTCGAACTTAAGATTTTATTGAGTAAAATAAAAGTAATCTTAGGTCTCATTCACTTTACAGATTTGACTTTTCAATTCGAGTTGAAATGTGATATTTTTTTTAGAGTTTTTAACTATAATAGAAAAAAAATTAAATTTAACATTTTTAAAAAAAATTTAACTGTAAAAACTTAGAATTAAAAACTTAAATCGGTAAAATGAACGATATCCGGAACATATGGGAGATATATACTTGGTTGTACATTAATCTCTGGTGGCCATTGCCGAAAATGCAGGAGGCAGAAAAGGGGAAAATAAAAAGGAGAGGATGTGAAGCCTTCTGATGTATCATTTATTTCTATCTTTATCTTTAATATTTGGAATTTTAATTAATAAGGTGACCGAATCCAAAAAGTACGAGCCCACCTACCCATTAATTCCTACTTGCACTAGTATACGTATAAAGACGAGCGCAGGCCTACACATGCTTGCTTGTGTGAGATATTATTACTTCTAAAAATGCAGTATTCTGAAGCGCTTATGCCTCTCCAACTCAAAAAAAAAAAAAAAAAAAAAAAAAAAAAAAAGAGGAGTACAAACCCCATTTTCAACCTTTGCATATATAACTCTTTTTGAGCTTTTGGCTATGCGACTGATCAGCTGAACTTCTAAGATTTCAAAATATGAGATCACAATAAAAACTAGACACTGAATTCCAATTAACCCGTTCAAGATTAATAGTGCTACAAATACAATAATATTCAAATATACGTTTTCTAGTACTATTACACTAATTACTTTCAAGATTTATGCATGGCTCAAGAATATCATGCACACATAAAAATTAGTTGATTTTACAAAAAATAATTAGGTAAAGAAAACTTGGGGATACGTGTAGCATTACTTAACTTAATCGATATGGTATAAGAGCTCTCGATGGATCTGACTTATCCAAACTTGTGCCAGCACAGTAACATAACTACGCATTTACGTACTATATAGAACCTCGTCCTGTACTCCTTAGCCATGGTGAGACATCTTTTCCGAAAGCTTGGAAGCTGATCTTGCACCGACCGGAGGTCTTTCATGGATGATGATGATGATGATGAACTGCACAAAGCCATCGCGTGATCGATCTTTCTCTCCGAATTGATCAGCAGTGCATGTGAGGGCTGAGGCCATTTATATAACAATATTGACGTAGAATCTGGAAAGGTGGAGAAGTTGGAAAAGAAAAACATATGAATTGTGACATTACTATCACCAAGATTGGGACCTACATTGTTTTCTTCTCACTCTTTTACACCTAAAAAAAGAAAATTATCGGTCCTATCTCGGTTCTCATTCTCTTCGACTATAGCATAAATTTTGAGGCCACTAATTAGTGATAGAATCAAAAAATTTTATCAATATTGGAGGTTTATAATTAAAAAAAATTAAAAATAGATTTTTTTTTTTGTTTTTGTTTTTTTGTATGCGACCAATAACATAAGAACAACTTGATTCAATTTTAGTTAAAAGGATGATCTCAGTTTCACTTATGTCACTACACAAGTCCAACAAAACACAATTTATTGACTGTATAGAAACCTTAAAGCAAGACTCTAAAATATCGCTTCATACCTTAAATTCATTTTAAAAGAAGAAGGAAAAAAAAAAAAAAAAAAAAAAAAAAAAAAAAACATCTCAACTGTTGCACCACCTCTCGGTTGATGACATATTGGAACCTATTTTGGTGGAACCCAACGCAGTATTGTATTGTCACGGCAAATTGGAAATAGCTAGACTCCAATATTAGGCCTGACCTAATACGATGAGTCGTATTCAAGGTGAAAAGGGACTCAACCTGAACTAACTCACCAACTTGGCCTAGTGAAGCTTTTCCACAACTTTCTAGATGGCTCTCGTATCGAACCTATGTTTATGAGCCATCGATCACTAACGGGCCTACTGGGCCCGTGGGCCAGTATGTTGTTTTCTTCGTAGTGTGAGGCTTCAATCCTGAGCCGCACACTTGGCTCAATGCAGGTTTCCTTTTCTTCATTGTTAAGTAGTAACCCAGTTGCGGACATTTGAGATAATATTGGAGGCATCTTTTAATGTACTACTAGAAAGTGGAAACTGGCCACTTTTGTTGTCTGAACTCTGACGCTGGTCTTAATTAGTACAATTATATGTTGCTAGATTATAATAGAAGAATATGGAACATTTGCAACTGCAAGAGTGCAAGGTGCCTTTTTATAGTTCAAAGTGTGGAACGTTTAATTTTGGTTTACTTTTCTCTCTTTTCCGGTAAGAAATTGAGAGGAATTGAATTCTATATCATCTCGAAATAATAGAGTCCTTATTTAAAAATTTAATTTAGGTTTACTTTAGATTCTGTTCTTTCCAAAAAAAATAATAATAACAATACTAATAATGACAATATGAAGAAGAAGGTAGTAAATTCTGAAAAGAAAAAGGAAGTATCCTAGATTCTTCTATGAAGTAATGAAGGAAAGAGAGGCAACCGGGGCAACCTGTTATAAAGAACTTCCTAATTTAAGCTACTATAATTTAACAGCTGTCAACTATAGGAGACAAATTAGGACACAAATGGGGTCAAAGATACACTCATTAAATTACGAAAACAGAGGATTAGCAAAAAAAAAAAAAAAAAAAAAAAAAAACCCCCAAAACAGAGGATATTCATATTTTCCTTCATGTGATTGAGTGAAAGTTAAAAAAAAAAAAAAAAGAAGAAGAAGAAGAAGAAAGAAAGAGAGTGAGGAGGAGGAAACGTTTATATATTTATATATATATATATATATGGAAACGTTTCCTCCTCCTCTCTTTGTCATCCGTTAACAAAATGGCAAAGAGAGGAGGAGGAGGAAACGTACATATGGAAACGTTTCCTCCTCCTCCTCTCTTCGCCATTTTGTCAACGGACGACAAAGAGAGGTGGAGGAGGAAACGTTTCTATATACATATATATATATATATATATATATATACACGTTTTCTCCTCCTCCTCTCTTTGCCATACATATGGAAACGTTTCCTCCTCCTCCTCCCTTTGCCATTTTGTCAACGGACGACAAAGAGAGTAGGAGGAGGAAACGTTTCTATATATTTAAAAATGACATGTCGGTCAAATGTATGCTGCCTTCTTGAAACATGAGATGTCGTTTTTTACTAATGTGCGAACAATTTTTTGTCATTTTGTCAAGGGACAACAAAATATGAGATCTTTTGGTATTGTTTTTAAAATGATTTTGTTTTCCATACAAAAGTAAAAATAAGATTATTTTAAGAATTATTATGGAATCAATTATGAAATTGCATTTGATTGATTTTTTAAGAGATTATTTTGAGTATAATAAAAAAGTGAAATCGTGTTTGGTTATAATTATTAATTATTGTATTATAATATTATTGATAAGTATTAGAAAATAAAAATAGAAAAGAAAAAACAATTTTTAACCTTTTTTTCATTCATTTACAAAAGCCATTCTTACTTTTATTTATTTATTTTCGTTTTCATTTTTAAAATATTTACTAAACAAACATAATTTGCAAACTGTTTGCATCTATGTGTCTCAAAAGAAGTGCATAAACATTTTCAAAAACAATTTAAAACCAATTTAAAACGTACTCATAATATCGCTCGGCTGAAACCACCACAAGTGGAAAATCATTCGTTTGTCCTACCTACTTAGACTAACAAGGTTGAAGAAAGAAACTGAAAGGATGGGCCAAGCAAGTTGTGTGATGAGTACACTAATCCGTGTGCTTGTACAAGGAGAAATCCAATACTTATTTAGAAGCTTGTCTGATATATCGACATGTTGGTATGTTAAGTTTTTTATCTGTTAAAATTATATAAAATCACTTAAAAATAAAAAATATATAAATATCTGTTTAATTCACTGATTTGAGTTTTTAATTCGAGCTGAGATGTGACTTTATGTGAAAACTTTTTACTGTAATAAAAAAATAACTATTTTTGAGAATTTTTTACTATAATAAAATTTAAAATTTAAATTCAAATTAATATAATGAAGGTGACCTTAACTTTTTGAAAAACTTGACCACCTGTGGTGCAGAATCTTCCTATTTAAATGACTTGAATTTCTAGTCTTTTATTTTTTTCGTCCACGTAATGTGGTTGTGTTCAAAGTCATCGCTTAATGTGTGCTTTTTACTTGAAAAAGACAGTTATTACTTGACACGATGTGCCGTGCGTGTAGTATCTTGATTAGATTAGATTTCAAAAACATGCTCGTGAATTTTAGAATCTATGGTCCAAAATTACCGATAAAAAAATATCAAGGATTAGTTTACTTCAAATAAAAATTGGGAATTGAGTTATCGTAAATCTAGTTGTTCGAGAATTAATTTAGTGCATAATTTTTTCTTGTTCATTTCCGTCACGACGAAAGGTTTTTGAATGTCTATTAACAAATTGATTTAGAATCAATTAATTAGAAAGACAAAAGGATATTTCTACAGCATTTTAGAATTATAAGGTACTAGTTACTACTTAATGTCTTCAAAATAACAAGTCATCCTCTATAATAATAAAAACAGACAGAATATACCTTAAAAAAAGCATACAGAACATCAAGATGTTAATTTCTCAATGATAAAATCTAAAAAAAAAATTTAAAAAAAAAATCTCAATAATGTATGTTTTTAGGAGGTATTCTATTATTATTTCGTAACTTTAAAAAAAGGGAAAAAAAAAATCTTTTCTTTCCGTAAGAATATGGGTTAGTCTGTCCTTTTCTCCAATTCTTACCCTCTTTTCGGGATCTCAAATTCTCAAACATATCCGACTCTCTCTCTTCGTGGGTAAGCGGATTATCTTTATGCCCTTCGAATTTTGAAACTTTTCTGCTTTTATCTCAAGTTTGATTTCATCGAGCATGTCACTTGGCACTGCCCTATCAAACCCTAATTCTCTGATTTCAGTTCCCTTTCTTCCTCTTTCGTCTGCAGAAGCATTCCCAATGTCTAAATGTTCATTTAAGATGGAACACCCTCTCGGTTCGTACTCTCTTTATTCTGTATATAATTAAACAGATTTTGAATAATTCTTTTAATTTTCTGATCAATTTTTTTGGGCGACCAAACCGTGATTGATCACGAGGATGAACTTTGATTCATGGATTTAGTTTCGTGTATGTCGTGGAATAGGCAAAATTATTGGTATTCCATATTTCCCGTCTGTTTTCTTTTCTTTTTTTTTTTTTTTTTTTTTCTCTCTTGCAATTGCTCTTCTTTTTCTATTCCGTGATAAGAACAATCTTTATCCTGTTTAAATTTGTTTAGTTTCGGAATAAATCCCTTCATAAATTAGCAGTTCTCCATCTGGGTTTCTTATCGCAAAGCATAGAATGTATGAATTTGATCCTTGGGAATTATATTCAATCATGTAATTGCAATGTGGATAATTGTTAATTTGATATGAATGAATTGTTTTCATGATCAGTATTAATGTATCTGCACCTTTTTTTTTTTTTTTTCCAATGTTTAAAAGGGCAGGAAAGAAACAAATTTGTTGCCTTTATGTGTATGCTTCATTAATCACTATTGAATTTTAAAACTTTTTTCTTCCTTCGGAGCCAGAAAGGAGGCAAGCGGAGGCTCATCGGATCAGAGAGAAGTATCCCGACAGAATACCAGTATGATTATCGTTTATTTGTTTGCAACTTTGCATCTATGTCTCTGTTGTTCGACAACTCTAGATTATTTTCTACTTTTGATTCTTTGGTGCAGGTGATTGTAGAACGAGCTGAAAAGAGTGATGTGCCTGACATTGTTAAGAAAAAGTTAGCCTTCTCAACTATTCTTTTACAAGCCCCTTATTTTCGTTTTTGTTAGATCTCTTGAGCAAGATTTTAGAGTTTGGTTGTTAAGGAGGAATTAGGATATTCTTATGCAAGATTAATTAGACAATGTATTGGGGTGGAAAATAAATTTACGTTCAGAATTAAGATATATTAACTTGTACAGAACCAAGTTTCCCTATTATCAATATGGATCTTTTTAAATTTGAGTAGGCATTGGAGATATGTGCAGAAATTTCTACAGTTTTTCAATCAACTATTACATATATATATATATATATATTGTTTTTCGTTAAATGCTTGCTTAGGATGTGTGATTTGATTATTAATGGATGAAATCTGTCTGTTGGGTTGAACGGAGATATCTGGTGCCTGCTGATCTGACTCTTGGCCAGTTTGTGTACGTGGTCCGAAAGAGGATCAACCTCAGTCCTGAGAAAGCTATTTTCATTTTCGTCAAGAACATTTTGCCACCTACTGGTGAGATGAAAGTTAATTCTTTTTACTTTAGTGATGGATCACGGCGTAATTTCTTGGATAATCCGTTTATGATTAAAAATTTCGGTTTTGTTTTTTCAGCGGCATTGATGTCTGCGATTGATGAAGATAATAAGGATGAAGATGGTTTTCTTTATATGACGTACAGTGGCGAGAACACATTCGGGCAACTGTGAAACATGACGAAGTTATTTGTCTGTGTGAATATGGGTCGAAAAAGAGAAGAAAAAACGAAGTGTGGAGTTTAGCTTATGTAGATTCTCCATTTCTCCTTGGTCCATTTGATGTGTTTTTCCGGTTAACGAATAGTCTGACAAACCTTTCTTTTTATATTAATAATATGGCAACTTATCGACTTATGTCTATAGTGGTTTTAGTATGTGAGATGATTGTTTCACTTCTTGCGATTATTTTGTTCATGTGTTTGAATCGAGTGCTGTTTGTGTTCTTTATCTATCCAACGTTCCAATAATTTTCCAGACCAAAGCGTCTTCTCCATCTAGTTAGGGATGTTCAAAAAAAGGGCCAAAATCGCAAAAGTCTTCTCCATCTAGTGGATGTTCAAAAAAACGGCCAAAATCGCAAAAGTCTTCTCCATCTAGTGGATGTTCAAAAAAACGGCCAAACCGTCTAATTGCTTAATTCAAATTAAACTGAATTAAATCGTTAATTTTTTTTTTATATTATTAGGAGGATTAGTCAATATTTTGGTCAAATATTTTTGGGCGGCTTAATTATTGGTTTGGACTCTCTAGATCGTCTAATAATCAGCCCCAAAACACATATTTTTTAAAAATATTTTTTCTTTATTTTAATTTTTATTGGTTATAAAGGTTCTACAATTATAGAATACACCCTATCACATTTTTATTGATTTGTTAAAACTTACGTTTAGACATTTACAATTCTTTAAATTATATTGTATACTTCGAACCTTATTTTTATTTTTATGGATCAACGGTTTTATAACTTTTGTGAATTATTGAAAACTTTTTTTTAAACTCAAACCATCCAAACCGCTTAGCAGTGATCTAGTTTAATTTAGTTTTTTTGAAAAATATCAAACGAACCATCTAAAAAAATTATTTTTAATTTGGTGCTGATTTCTAAAAAAAAAAAAAAAAAAAAAAAGCCTAAACTGACTGTAAACACCCCTACATCCAGTCTCATACATCAATGTTACACAAAAAATCGTCTCCGTCCATCGTACAATATGCATTGCTATTAGTGGCCTTATTTAACTTAGGTGACGTTTGGTTTATGCGTTTAGTTTATGCGTTTTAAATTATGGTTTATGATTTATAATTCTTATTTTTAAAATTTAAATTTTTTGTGAGAGAAAAATACTATAACAGAATTAAGAATCATGATTCTAAATTAGGTAGAATTCTTAAAACAAATGTCACCTTAATAGCGTGTTCTTTTTATTTTCTTCTTTTTTTTTTTAATGAAAGAAAGAAGCTATTTATGTTCCGGAGAAAATTACTAAAATAATCATTGTTTTCATCATCCTATTATTAATGCCGTTAAAACAATATTTTAAAAGAATATTTACATATTCTGATAGAATATGAGAGTATCCTAGCTGATACTAATGACATAATAATAAATTTTAAATTGATGATAAAAATAAAATAGTGTTTTATGATATTCTTGAAATTTTTCCTATTTTTTATGTATTGACACCTATTTTTTATGAATGGACACTACTGGCATTGGCGGTTCTATGTTACTTATAAAGCTAGAGAGCAACTCTAATCATATTAGTTATTTCATATTTTTAATTAAAATAATTAGGTGACGTTTGGTTCATGGATTAGAATCATTTTTGATTTACCTGTATTTTTAGTGAGAGAAAACACTAGCGAACCACGAACCATGATTCGAATCAGGGTACGAATCTGCCAACCAAACATCCCCTTAATGATTTTAGCTTTTCTTCACTCTAATCATTAACTAAATAGTTACTTATTTGGGCTAAAGCACTTTTCACTAGCTAAATATAATTAACAAAAAATGACTAGCTATTTATTCTTTTTATTATTTTATTCTTAGTTGACATAAAGTAAAAGTAAAAAAAAAATTATTTATATTTTAAACTCAAAATTTTTTTTAAAATAATCTATGTTTAATTAAAATAGAGAATATGATTTGAGTAACTCATTAAAAAATAACTAAAATAGCTTTCTAACCATTTTAATTAAAATTTAGTTAAAATTTAGAGCACTTATCGGAGATGCTCTAAGGATGCTTCTCAAAAAATCTTCTCTATCCAATCTCATACAAAATACATAGCTATTAATGGCCCTTCCATCGTAGAATTTCCTTTGTGACTAAATAAGAAGCTACTTATTTTTTATTTTTGCCAAAAAAGCAGCTACTTATGTTCTACGTATTGACGCTGCTGGCATAGGAATCCAACTTTTTTCATCTAGTCCATAAAAATTGCGAGAAAGTCGATTCATTGTGGTTGAAATTGAAGCAGGTTTATGATCATTCGAAGCGATGACTGTACGGCAGACTAAACGAATAGAGTAACTATATAGAACTAGAAAAGAGATTCTATCAAACACATTTCGCAGAAAGAATATGTACTGTATCCCAAAAAATCTTAACTTTCACTCGTTAGTTTTGACTAGTAGCCATTGCTGGCAATTCTCAAGGTTAACGGTTAACCTACTTAGAGGTTCTCTTCTGGTACTGAGTTTTGATCCATTTGATGCCAATAGAGGTTCCACTCTTCACCTTCTGGGCGCCAAAGACTGCCGCAACCTTGGCTTTGTCAGCACCCACCACAGCCGCAGCCTTGGCCTTGTCGGCACCCACCACAGCAACAGTCTTGGCCTTGCCTAATCCGGCTGAAGCCGCTGCTTTCACATCTGCCATTGTCTTGCTGCTGCCACCACTCCCTTTCTTGGTGGCTTTTGCCTTGTCATCGTTGTCTTCAACACCAAAATTCCCCCCGGTGCCCCATTGATCGGACCAACTTGGTGCTTTGCTTCCCATAGTCTCTTCACTTTTAGAATCTAGATTGATGAAAAATCAGTATGCACTTATTCATGTCCTCAAATGCAAGGTTCTTGATATTTTTATTCGACAATATAACTTTCTTTTGAATCAAACGAGTGATGTCAAGTATCATACTTCACTACTTATATCTCAACTAAGTCCGTTCCAAATATTGACAAGCAAAATAATGCAACAACTTGAGTTAAAAAGTGAATTTATGTAAAGAAAATATTATAGCTAAAAAAGTTGAATTTAAATTTTTGTGAGAGAAAACACAGTAGTAAAAACTTAAATTGTGATTCGAACCAACAAAACGAACGGGGTCTAAGAGATTCGGGTATGTGATTAAATTGGCTGTTCCACTGTATTTGACCAACTTATCACATGATTCCATATGCAAGTGTTTTTTTTTCCCCCTTCAAATATAATTAGGGGGCGGAGCCCCCCTCATAATGTGTGAAATCCTAGTAAATCTAATGAAATTTTTAGTATATTCCCCTCCACAGGCTCCCCTACCCTGCCTCACTTATTTTTCTGGCTCCATCCCTAGATATAACGCAACTGATTATAGAGAATAACATGGAAACTCAGAACAAAAGTCAATATTAATAACATAACATACTCTTAGTCTGGTAAAAAAAAAAAAAAAAAAAAATCTTGGTGCAAAACTGCAAAAACATTCCGTCCACTCGCATGACAATATAATTGACGACAATAGTAAAAGAGAATCTAAAAAAGTATCAGTGTAGCACATCCGGCAGCTCAGCCAAAGTCAAAATTCACAAAGTTATAAACAATTCACGAACAAACTCGTTTGCATCAATTAAATACTAACACATTCCAACAGAATTCAATCAAACTTCAAGCATTCTGCAAAAGCTCCTAACAACAGGCTTGTCCAATTTTAAGGATTCAAATTTTTTGTTGGGCTTTCGAAATTAATGTCGAGAAAAAGCGATACAAGCCGACATTTAAGCAAGATTATAAAAATCAGGTCAAAACAGAACAAATAAAAATAAAAATCGAATCGTCCTAGTTCAATCATGTTAACCTAATTCATCAAATTCGAAATCGAAGACAGCCTAAAAGCCTAAGAGTAATCTGAGGCGAAACCTCTGAATCTCAAAATCAATCCGTTTAGGGAAAGCGACGAATAATAGCCCAATTCTAGCGAAAAGAGTTATTTCCATTAATGCTTAGCAAATCGAAGCGAGAGAGAGAGAGAGAGAAAGTACCTTTGATTGATGTGAAAGATTGGGCCCGGAGGAATTGGTGGTGGTTTGGTGAGCGGTGAGAGATCGATTTTGAGAAGAGAAGAGATGGGATGTTAGATATTTCGAGTCGTTGTTTGTTTTGTTGTGGGAATTTTTTTATCTTTTTTCTGGGAAAAAGTAAGGGCTCCACTTGGTGAGTATTTTGGGATCTGTAAGAGAGGAAGGATGTGGATGGTTTCTGGGTTGTTGGTTGGTTGGTTGACTTTTGGTGTCCTCTTTCCTAGATATCCATCCACCTACGTTGCTTTTTTTAATCAGCTGACGTGTGATGTTATCAGCTATTCTCGTTCAATTATTTAATATAAATAAAGTTAGATGTAGATGGTCCAACATAGAAGCTGGAATAGCTCAGTTGGTTAGAGCGTGTGGCTGTTAACCACAAGGTCGGAGGTTCAAGCCCTCCTTCTAGCGTTTTATTCATTCTCTCTCTTATTTATTTATTTATTTTTTGAGAAATACGAATTAGAAAGTTTATCTAAAGGATACTTTTGACACATGTATTGTTCAAAATGCACCTCATTGTCACACTTGGAACGAAGTGTCTCATAAACTTTGCATTTTAATTTGTGTTTCGTTAGAAATAAAAGCAAATGCATACTTTCTTGATCTGTTTTTAACTTTTTAGATTTTTTTTTCCTCCTCTTGATAATATTTTAGTAAATTTTGCAGTCAAGATAGACTGTCGATTGACAAAAGAAAAAGATTTTCCTATTAAATGCAATATTATGGTATACATATGTAGCAATCAAGAACTAATTACATACTTTTTAAATAACCTATGGTACAAAACAATACTTTATTTTTATGACGTTCTTCTTAAAAACCAGCATAAGGAAAAAGCCCTCCTTCTAGCGTTTTATTCACTCTCTCTTTTTTATTTACTTTTTTTTTTTTTGAGAAATATGAATTAGAAAGTTTATCTAAAGGATTCTTTTGACACATGTATTGTTCAAAATACACCTCATTGTCACACTTGGAATGAAGTGTCCTATAAATTTTGCATTATAGTTTGTGTTTCGTTAGAAAGAAAAGCAAATGTATGCTTTCTTGATTTGTTTTTAACTTTTTAGATTTTTATTTTTCCTTTTCTCGTCTTGATAACATTTTAGTAAATTTTGCAGTCAAGATAGACTGTGGATTGACGAAAATTTTTTTTCAACTTCTTATGGAAAGGCTCATAAAAACAGGGCATATCATACGAGTCGTTTATGGAAAGGCTCAGCAAACTGTTTTCAAAAACTGTCTTCGTATCCTAATATCTAATGACTATTTTTTAATACAATATCTGATGACTAATTTTAGTTTTTATCAAACGGCTTTTTTGTTTATTTTATTGAAGGGTTAAACATAAAAAATAAAATAGTGTCAGGGATTTCAACTTTTTAATATATCAATTTATGTGGCTGATAAGTGGTTATCTTCTTATTTGTGAATATGATATTTTATATTAATTAATATGATGAATTTACTAGCAAAAAAATTTAATATGATGATTTCTTAAATGTTTATTAATAAAAGAATGATAATTCACACACTATGTTAATTAGTGTTATAATATTGAAATAAAAATTGATGCTCATAACAGTATACTTTCATACAAGCTCTCAGGAAATAATGATAATATTACTTTTATATATTTAACCTCAAACAAAAGTAAATATTCTCTAGTTATATATAATTAGAAAAAAAATTTGAACTTATTTAGTCTGAATTCATAATTTATATTATTTTAACTAATATAATTATTTAACTAAAAAGGATATTAATTAATAATAAATTTTAAAAATCTAGATTCACATATTTTAAGAAGTATTTGTCTTTTTTTTTTTTTTAAACAAATCATCTGAACTTGAGGGAAATTTTGCCGTGAGATGCCTTTACCGTAGGGCTAAATGGACCACCGATCCCAATCGTGTAGTAAAATTAGATTGTCTATATTATATAAGAGGGATGCTTTGTGAGCATTTTTTTGGACCAACCGTTTCGATCAAAATAGTTTGAAATCCACTATTCTTGATTCCGTAGTAGAAATTTCTGTTTTCTGGTAGGGCCTTCTTGATAGGGATAGTTTTTATCGTAAATTTGATTTAAATCATATTAGATTAAAAAAAATATACAAGATAAATAATTTTTGATATAGATCTAACGACTGAAAATAATGAACTATCGATAGTTCATTTTTTCTAATCCTATAAGAGAAGCTACCTTCTCTAAGTTAAAAAAGAACAATATTAGATTCCAACTTTATTAAATAACTTTTAAGAGGTGATCAGATATCAAAATCTAAAATTATTATAAGCCCTATACTCAACTCGAAATAATTGGTCCTTGTACTTTGTTATCAATCTCAGTTTGATCCCTAATATTTAAAACATCTCAAAATTCATCCTTAATTTATCTATTTATTTCAATTTTAATCATTTTTATCAGCTATGTGTAAAAAGGATGGTAGACTATGCATGTGATGTTGAAGAAAATAATATTTTATTAACAGAACACGGAACATACATGTGATTCTAACGTAAAAATGAAAAATAACACTCTACTAACTGAATATTATCCATATTTTATTGTGTTTTTAACACCTAATTGATAAAAAGACTAAAATTAAAATAGATTGATTGATCAGAAATTAAGTTTGTGACATTTTGAAAATCAAAGACTAAATGAGATTGCCAACAAAACTCATAACCGTTTATGAGAATCCCTAATATCTATGATGTGATGTTCTTAATTTTTCTTACCACTCTTAATCGATTGATATATAAAGAAAAATTAGACAAATGCCTCTTTAATGAGTCTTAAATTTGTATCATTTATTATTAATTAATATTTTTATTTAAAAAACTATATTAGTTGAAATGATATTAATAAAAAATAAAGAGTAAAAATTTAAATTCATGTACTTTTATAAAAATAAATTTAGTAATTTTATTTTATTTTATTATAACCCTATGCTTTTATTAATAAATCAAAGAGAGATCAAATCACCGATCACTCAAAAAGAAAATACTAGTCTTGGTGGTCCTTGTACTTTGTTATCAATCTCAGTTTGATCCCTAATATTTAAAACATCTCAAAATTCATCCTTAATTTATCTATTTATTTCAATTTTAATCATTTTTATCAGCTATGTGTAAAAAGGATGGTAGACTATGCATGTGATGTTGAAGAAAATAATATTTTATTAACAGAACACGGAACATACATGTGATTCTAACGTAAAAATGAAAAATAACACTCTACTAACTGAATATTATCCATATTTTATTGTGTTTTTAACACCTAATTGATAAAAAGACTAAAATTAAAACAGATTGATTGATCAGAAATTAAGTTTGTGACATTTTGAAAATCAAAGACTAAATGAGATTGCCAACAAAACTCATAACCGTTTATGAGAATCCCTAATATCTATGATGTGATGTTCTTAATTTTTCTTACCACTCTTAATCGATTGATATATAAAGAAAAATTAGACAAATGCCTCTTTAATGAGTCTTAAATTTGTATCATTTATTATTAATTAATATTTTTATTTAAAAAACTATATTAGTTGAAATGATATTAATAAAAAATAAAGAGTAAAAATTTAAATTCATGTACTTTTATAAAAATAAATTTAGTAATTTTATTTTATTTTATTATAACCCTATGCTTTTATTAATAAATCAAAGAGAGATCAAATCACCGATCACTCAAAAAGAAAATACTAGTCTTGGTGTTTAATCAATCCTAAAAACTAACGTCTATATAAGACCGGTTTGGTAGTCAATTTTTAAATTCGTTATCCTTATAGAATATAACAACAATGATTATTCATTTATTGTTGTTATATTCTATAAAAAAAAAAAAAACACAATGATTATTCATTTAGCAAGGAAAAGTATAACGTCGCCAACACCTACCCCAGAGCTAAAATTTCAACTTTATAACCGACTCTATAAAGATAACGAAAGTTGAAAACCCAATGACATGAAATTAAAGAAAAAGGCAAAGTACATACTAGTTGTCAGTTGTCACCCCTTTGCCATTTTGTCTTGTGAACTTCCGCTACAAACTTTTACCCCTTTTTTTATTTTTTTTTATTTTTTATTTTTATTTTTTAGGGGATGGGGTGTAAAAAGAGTGATGTGATTTTATATAATAATTTTGGTCTTGTTCTTTTGAGTGAAAATTTTTAAAAAAAAAGTAACTCAAGTTATAAATTTATTTGAGTTCATGTTCTTTTAAGTTTAACTCGAATTTAAACTCGAGTTTAAATTTGAGTTTAGGATTAAAACTCGAGTTCAAGTTTCCCTTTTAACTCGAGTTTAGAAACTTCAACTCAAATTAATGAACAATATTTTTTCTATTCTTAAAAATGCTATAACTTTTTCGTTTTAATTCTGATTGAGATGATTTTTTTTTCTATGCTTTGACAACGAAAAGACGAATAAAACCCGACCCATATACCCTATTAAAATTTTTCATCAGCATTGAGTTTTTATTAAAATACTATCTAAATATAAATTTAAGTTTTGACTCACTCAAACATAAACTCAAAAAGATTCTTATCTCAAACTATAACTCAAATGTACACAACTAAATACAAATTCAAGTTATAAGTTCAACTCAAGTTATAATTTAAATTTAACTCAAGAATTATACTCAAATTAAACTCTAAAAAAACAAGCCATTTATAAGTCGATAATATTTTTTTTTTATCACCTTTATTTTTGAAAATAATATATGCTCATTAGGTAGAATGTCATTTTGTCATAGGCACTATTCGGTGTGGACATGAACAAAATGATCGTCCTTGATTGCCTTCCACAAAGCAATATATAAATAAGAATATTATCTGCACCCATTTGCATTATCATCTGTTAAAGCTAGCTAGGGAGAAAGATTGAGAGATTATCACCAATGGCCCACGCAGGTGAGGAAAAGGCAGTGGTTGTGGAGAGCAGAGAATGGTACATGGCGGCCTATGCACCGGACGGCATTCCGACGTCCAAGCATCTCAAACTCCGCACCGTTCCGGTGTCACTCACCGCCGATTCGATCCCCGAGGGACACGTCATCATTGAGACCCTTTTGGTGTCCATTGATCCCTATCTCCGGTCCAGAATGACCGGAGTCGATGAGGGTCTCTACTTTCCTCAGTTCAACATAAATGAGGTAATTATAGTTAATAATTTAATGCAACCAAATACAATTTTATTAGTTTATGTATAAGGTTCAAAAACTTTGATAACTAATCAAAAGGAAGTTTTATAATTAGTTGATAATGATCACATGCAGGTGTTATCAGCGACTGCGATTGCAAGGGTAATACGGTCAAGGGACAGCAATTATTCGGAGGGTGACATAGTAATTATCTTTTTTTGTCCTGTATCTGAATATTGTGTGGTGCCATCCCAGGCTATCAGTAGAAAAATTGATCCCAACGCTGGGGTTTCATTCCCAGATTATCTCAGTTTGATCGGTAATTTTTTTTTTTATTTTTTTATTGATCATTTCATTATCTTTTTTTTTTTTAATTTGGGACCTCAACTGTTATAACAACAAATTTTTGTTCTTCCTTAGGCTGTATTACATTAGAGATGACATTTTTATGTGGCTAATGCTATATATGTATACAGGGCTTCCTGGGTTTGCTGCTTGGGTGGGAATAGATGCAGTAGGAGAGGCAAAGCCGGGGTCCAATGTGTTCATTTCGGCCGCGGCCGGTGCTGTCGGAATGTATGCCGGCCAATTGGCTAAGCTCAAAGGTTGCAGGGTCATCGGCAGCGCCGGATCAGATGAAAAGGTATATATATATATATATAT